AGATCTGAAAGACGAAGCATGTACCTAGCTAACAGGTGTGGGGAAAGATGCTCCATGCGATTCATCATCACAGAAATGCAAATTAAAGTCCTAAAGACTCAGGTTCTCACACCCCTTAGGAAGGCTATTGGCAAGAAGACACGTGGCTACTATTATATTTTGACTTGTTTATATTCATTTAGTTTTAATTTTAAAAAGCCTTATTGCTTTTTCTGTTTCTTTTCTTGCTTTTATGTTTTATAATTTTGCTTCCACTTCCTTTGTAGAATTCCCAACAGGGACAGGTGTCCCATGGCCTTCGTGTTTCCAGCCTGTTAGCATCATTACAGTTATATTTATGAATCATTTTACATTTTTATTTCCTCTTGTGTTCATAGTTTAACATAAAAAAAAATGTTGTTTGGGACCATTTGTGATGGCATGCACCTTTAATCCCAGCACTCGGGAAACAGAGGCAGGCAGATTACTGTGAGATCAAGGCCAGCCTGGTCTACATGGTGAGTTCCAGGCCAACTAGGGCAACAGGGAGACACTATTTCAAAAGAAAATGTTAGGAGGGCAAAGAAAGTATTGATAGGAACCTCTGTCCTTTCCTTCTTCTCTCCCCCCCTTCCTTATTTTTTCCCTCTCTCCTCTTCCTCCTGTTTTGTTTTGTTTTGTTTTATTTTTTAATTTTTATTATTATTATTGTGGTCTTTTTGAGACAGGGTCTTCTTGTAGCCCCAGCTGTCCTGGAACTCACTATGTAGACCAGGCTGGCCTTGAACTCACAGAGATCTGCCTGCAAAGGCATGCACCACCATGCCCAGCTCATTTATTTTGTTTTTAAGGCAAGATATTTGCATGTGTCTCTGGTTTTGAACTCACACCTGGCTATCCTTTTCTGAACTAAGTTTACCCCTGCTCTGCCTTGCATTTACACCCAATCCCCTCCCCCATTTGCCAAGGCTTTCTCACTTATTGAAAATTTTATTTTCCTTCTGCCATATTATTTGATCAGTTAAAAATTACAGCATTTAATTCCTTTGTGGTTGTAAAGAGATATATAAATAAACACACAAAATTTTACTGTATTGAAGCTCTTGCACAACACAGAGGCTGACATAATAATCTTTGTTAGTATAAATGTTAACAAAAAGGAAAATGTCATGTATGTTCTCTGGTAAAAAGTAATTTTTTGGGAAAGAACATGGCCTAAAAATAAAATTGCTCTTGTTCTCCAGCAAGAAAATAAATGTCCAAGGATTGTTTCAGACGTACAGATTAGAGTGTGCTCCTGCCTGTGTGCTGATTTGATTGATGAGTTGTCACAGTGAGGAGGAATGAATTAGAAATGAAGCTGTCATACCAAGCTCATCAGGATCAAAGGCATTCCAGGTGGAGGAATGTTTTTTGGTTTTTTTTTTTTTTCTCTCTTCTGACTAATCCAGAAGTTTACCTCATCATACTGTGTCCATAATTTCTGGTAAAATCAACAATCTGAAGGTTTCCCCTGCTCCCCCCACCCCGACTGTTCTACTGGACAAATAAATAACAAGGGTTTCAGGACGCCGTAAGTGCAATCCATAACCAAGAGCAAACACATCTAGTGATCTGTGCACTTCAGATGTCTGAAGAGCGGATTTTTTTCTCTCTCAGAGAAAACTGCAGGCTTAATGGTATTGTTATTATTCTTCTTTTTTAAGTTAATGATTAATTTTAATATTTTTATCTATATTGTTTTATCCAAGGTTAAAAAAATGTTAATTCATTACTTAATTTTTTCCTCTTTATACACATAGGCAACTTTTAGTATTATTAATATATTAAATTGAGGATTACAAAATGGAGATGGCATGCTTGGTATTAGATCATTATATATTTAAAACATCAAATGATGGAGCCTTTTATATAATGACCTAGAAGTAGTAATTAGAGCTATGTTAAGAAAATTTGTTTCAGTGTTTATGTGCTTAAATAGTTCTGGGACTACAGGACGAAAAATAATAATAGAAAAGAAGTCTTTTGTATTGGTGGTTTTAAGCCAATATCTTAATTTAATTGGAGGTATTTGCCAGTAGTCTTTGTCTAGAATTTATTTTCACAAAAATATTTGTTGTCACTAAGAAAATTTTATCCCTCAATGTCCCTTTATTCAGATCAAAGAAGAGTTTTCAACCTATAATCTATAATTTTCAATTGTTTTTTTAATATTTAATTTTAATTTTTATGTGCATGAGTGTATTGCCTGCATGTGTGTAAGTGCACCCATATTGTGCAATGCCAATGTGGGTACTGGCAACTGAACTCAGGTATTCTGTAAGAACAGTATGTGCTCTTAACCAGTGAGCCATATCTCCAGTCCCTCAATTATTATTTTTACTGACAGGAATAATGAATACATAAATTAAATCGATATTTTAATTGTCAGTTGAGTTTCTCATGTATCATTACAGAAACATTATTATTAAGATACTTGAAAAAATAAAAATGAATAAACTTCTTTAGGTAGCAGTTCAAATAAAAGCAATCTAAGGGTGTTTCGGTGATCCAGCTGTTATCTGTTGCTGTTGAGAAGCCTAATCAAAAGATGAACTAATTTATCACACATTAAAAAACTTGCAAGCAAGTGGTCCTTGAGTCCTGATCATGGAAAGTGCAGCACGAGGCTTATTGTGATCTGATTGCTGTATAACTGAAGGACTTGTGTAGATTTGCCTGCCAAGTTTGAAGAGAATGTGGGGCAGTGTGCACAGAAGAGTCCCTCACTTCTTCACCAGTGTGGTGGAGGAAATAAGACTCAGAGATCCTTTATGGTAGTAATTCCATCTTTTGACCAACCATACAAATGGTTACTACCTTCCAAGTGCTATGCAGGGCTTTCAAAAACCTAGTGCTCACGAAGCCAGTGTTAAGTGGTGGTAATTATTGAAATGGATAGAAAGAAGTTTAGGGTGAATAGACTGGTGAAAAGAAGAAGGAATGGAAAGAAATATCATTCTTTAAAATTTTCAAGGATTTATACATTAATAAAGTAATTGACTAGCATCTGAAGACAGAAGTGGTTAGTTGTTAAAAGAGGGGTAGCTTTCAGCTTTTTGAATATTTTATTTATTATTTTTATTTCATGTGTAAGAGCGTATTACCTGCATTTAGGTAGGTGCACCCATGTCTTGCAATGCCTGTGGAAGTCAGAACAGGGCATCAGATCCCCTAGAACTGGAATTATGGATGGTCATTAACTGCCATGTGGGTGCTGGGAACTGAACCTGGGTCCTCTGCAAGAGCAGCCAGTGCTCTTAACTGCTGAGCCATTTTTCCAGCCCCCAGCTTTCAGCTTTTTAAAGAAATAACTTGTAAATGAGTTGTAAAAGTTTAAAACAGATTGCTTTGTGAGAGAATGAGATTTCTACCATTCAGTGCCTTCAAATCTGAAGTTAACCCCAACCCCATCCCAAATGATTTGAAGAGAATCGATCACTGGATGGGAGATTTTATCATGTAACTTATAACATCTCTTTCAATTGTATAATCTAGGCTTCTATGTATTGGTTAGTGTCCTCTGTCCCCATGAACATTAAGAGCAATGCTTGTGTATTTAATAAGGCACCCAAAGCCCATCTGAGAAGAGTACAAGCACAGGAAGGCTGTACAGCTCAGAGAGAAAATAGAACATGCTACTGGCTCTTGCAATTTCCTAGTGCTGCTGGGGAAGATTGGGTGAAGAGGAGGTACAGGAAAAACAATATAATCCTTCATGGCTATGCAGAAGTCCATATTGTGTGTGCAGTGAACATTGGAGTAAGTTGACTGGAGGCCAATGGGAGGCAAATGGGATAGCTTCTCCAATGAGAACTGTAAAAGGAGGGTACTACCCACAGAACAGGAAGCCTTCTTTGTTATGAAAGTCACTGCTCAGTCCTTCTCTGTTCAGGTGTCTCAATTGAGTGTAAGTCACTATGTTCCCCATGTTGTTGTCATGTAACATTTTCATCCACAAATTCTTCGTGAAGGTAACCCTTTAACCAGGAGATGAAAACAATCCTTAATCTTATCTAGCTGTGAACCCTAGGAGTTACAGAAAAGACTGGCTTGGAAGGACATACCCACTGGTGCAATAATGACATCAATGTCATGGGACTAACCAAACCCTTTCTGATTGGATTTAAAACCTCCTCCTCAAGGTGAAACCCGTACCTGTCACCATCAATGAGGCCAAGAACCTCCGGCTAGACAGGCCTAGGGGAAGAAGCTGCCGCTGTTATATTACTAAATGGACTGGGTATTAAACGCACTCCTAATGACATTGTAATAGTTCAGTGCATCTCTCAACTCTCATCAGAGCAGCTTATTTAGTAGTATATGATAATTAGTCCAGAGATTCACATTCAGAGAATAAGTGACTTCAGAATGCTCATCTCTAAATAGGGCAACTGTATCATACCCTCCTTTCCCAAAACTCAGGGATCTTTTCAGAAGAGGGGGTGGGGACAGTGTAAGAATAAAAGCAATGGACGACTTCATGGAAATAGTGTTTTCCAGACACAACAGGGCGGGTACATATATGAACTCAAGGTGGCTGTGAGAGCAGAACAAGACCAGGAAAGCTTAGCTCAGAGAAGGGAGGTGGGCACAGTTCCCACCACTAGCTAAGGAGCTAAAGAGGGAGAGTCATTTTTAAGAGTGTCTCCCTGGTAGGTCAATCACATTCTAGTGGATGGACGCACCCAAGACCACATGGGAAGCACAAATTGGCCTCATTGGTTTTTTTTTTTTTTTTTCAAGAAAAAGATTTATCTTTATTTTGAATACTTGAGATGAAAATATTGTATTAGATATGAAATAAAGTCACATTATTAGAACATTTTTCAAAATTACATTGGTTAATGAATGAAAACACAGAGCTGCTAGTTTGTGACATACATGTTAAAGAGAGTAAATGGTCTCAATTCCGGTAATTTTAAGAATTCATCAGTCAAAAAGTCTTTTGACATTTGCTACTATCACGTGTGTGAACAAATTTTTCCATCAATTACTGAGTGTAATCAATTGAAGAGGTCATCTGTCCTTGTCAGTGAAGTTTTTGTAGCAAGCTAAACCCAAACTGTCCAGTTTAAAGCAATAATTACTTATTATCATTCTTGCTTCTGGGATATCTAAGTGCTGTATGTAGGGTCAGCTGTGGACCTTTCATGTACTGGCTTCAGAGCTCCACAAGGTCTATAGTCATTTGAGGACTCATTAGCTGGGAAACCAAAATGGCTAGGCACTGATCCTGGCTGTTGGTTCGTTTGGAGCTATCAACAAAAATGTCTTATGTTCGGCCTCTTTATGCAGCTTAAGTTCTCCTGTGTGCCAACTTGCTTTTGACAGGAATCATCCCTTAAAATAGGGCTTTATACAGATGGAGTTGTGAGTGCCAAAGTTTCTTTTTTTTAAAAAAAATTATTTATTTAATAACCACATACTTAGAAGAAGAACTTCATTACATCAGCATTGACACATTCAGTAACAATTTTCTGAGCTAGGCTGCATCTCTTACAAAATTGCCTGTACAGTTTTAGGTTTACAGTTGAATTATTACAGTTATACAATATTGTACTCAGTATAAACCCTGTAAGACATAAAATTAAATCATGTTTTAGCCTTTAAAAAAAGACCTCCATTTCATTATTAAAATACAGAGTTTCATGCAGAAAACTTCATTTTTAATGCAATTAAAAATTTAAAAAAGGATAATGATTAAAAAATAATAATTCTTCAAAGCATAAAAATTTTCTCTTTAATAATTAGTAGATGTGAAAAACATTATCATTGAAATCTACCTGATGACTTTATATCCATGCTCAGAGGCCTCATTGGTTTTTATAAACAGTTGAGATGGAGTGGGAAGGGATGTGGGAAGAGTTGGAGGGAGTGAGGGAGGGGTGAAGATGATGTAAATACAGTACTCATGTATGAAATTCTCAAAAAAAATGTAAAAAAATAATAAAACAAGATTCCAGTTGGAATAAAAAGGTAACACTTTTTTTTTTTTAAGGCAGCACTTTAAGACAACTCTGATGAAAACCCAATCTGGTGGCAGTATAGCAAATTTACATTCGCTCTCTCTTAGACTGGTTCCTGTGCATTGACCGACTTAATTCTGCAGCCCGTGTTACATTATGTGCATTGGCTAGTTGTCTTGGTCATTTACTTATTTTTTATTTTAACTTTGAGTTAATCACAGTCAGATCAAGTGACATATCGGAGCACATGTAGGCAAGTGTATTAGACATGCCAAATCTTTGCTAAGCACCTAGTCTTCCAACTGAATACCACCTCTCAGTCCCATTCGAAAAACTTGCTTTCTTTTCCTTTAAAGGGAAAGTGCTGCCTTCTGAGATGATGAGTCAGCTAAGCACACTAAAGAGAGGCGCGCTTGTAAATTCGACCTCATTCACTAAACAACCTGCTGAGTAGTTCTCTCTGTTTCCATATTCTTCAGTTTCTTCCCTTTGACATAATTTATTCCCTGTTTGGTTTTGACAGTTAGATATTTGTGTTAATTTGGTATTTGCTGTCCATCCAGGAGTGGAAGCACTTAGCTCATGATGGGAATTGCCTCTCTCAGGCTCATTCTGAGAGCAGCTCTTTTTGTTTGATTATTTTTCTCATGATGCACCTGCATCTCTATTCTCTCCGTACTGTTAATGAAAATACAAGTTTACATGAGTCCCCCAGGCTTCTTTTGTATTACCTGTTGTCTAAAAGTCTGCTAATGTGACTGTGCTGAAAAGAGAGATGACCAACCAAAGAGAACATAGGAATAATTTCCTCTCATTGATAGGGATCTTGAACTCTTTATGAGATATATATGAAAGGAACAAAAGGGGCAACAAAGAAATTTCCCATCCAATTAAGTGCAGAAAACAAACACTATTTTACAAACAAGAAGAATGGAAATCAGAGCATTAATGAAATAGTATCTCAAAATATATATTACTTATTAGTTGAGACTTTTATACATATATACAATGTATTTTGAGCATATCTACCCTCCACTCCCCTGTCCTAGTTCAACTCTTTCCAGGCCCTTCCACCAGCATACCTCCCACCCAACTTCTGCCTTTTGCTACTGGCAGTTAATAGCTGTGAGGGGGAGTCAGTTTTCTTCAGGGATGTGGCCTTTGGTAGCTTGCCCATGCTCCAGTGGCTGGCCTTATACCCATGCACTTATGGGTAGCACTAACTAGTCTCAGTGGGATAATAAAAAAGGGACATGAAATAGCATTTAAACATAATTCTGATACTGTTGTTGAGTTTTCATAGGTGTAGGTGTAGGTGTGCATGATTGAATGTGTGTATACATCAAACCATTTTTGAATCTGATGTGTGGGCTTCCCCTATACCAAGAAACAACAGCCCATTTCACTCCTGGACAACTGGTAATGACAAAACAACAGAAGAGAAACAGCAAAGGGCTAAGCCAGGAAGTTTGGCCTCCTGGGACAGCGAGAGCACAAACTACAAATGCAATTTTACTTTTCATGTTCTTTCTATTGATTATGCAGCCCTACTTACAGAAGTGTCCAGAGTGGAGTTCTCAGGGCAGCAGAAGGTGCAAACGAACAACAGAGATGTCCCTGCTCTTCATGGCCTCTGCTTTCTCGCTGCAAGCTGAGAGCTGCCATCACCCCATTCTCACTGGAAACCACAGACAATTATCATTGAAGCCTCCTTTGCTGTCTTCCTTCCCCACCTGCACTCTGTTCTAAATATGATTTTTTTTCTATCTTTTGTTTTCATCTTTCTTACTTTTTCAGGATTTCCTTTCTATCTGTTCTGGACTGGACATTGTCATAGTTGTGGTAGATGTTATTTATTCTATTTTCCCATTGACCTTTAAAAGTCTTCTCTATCTGCCCTCAAAGCCTCGAGAGATTGTGGCAGCCTGAGTTCTGTGGAATTCTGAGAACCACATGCTATACATCTAAGCTTGAGAGAACACTTTCAGCCTGAGCTGAAAGTTCTTGCTATCTGTTTTGCTCATGACCTTCAATAAAGTTAGACAAAACTGTCTCCCACTCTTTTTGAAATTTTTCATTTTTTATGTATATGCGTGTTTTGCTTGTGTGTGGAATGCCTGCAGAGGCCAGAAGGAATTATAGGAAGTCGTTAGCCATCATGTGGGTGCTGGGAACCGAGCCTAGTTCTCTGCAAGGGCAGCCAGTGCTCTTAACCATGGAGCCACCTCACCAGTCACTGCTCTCCAACTCTTATGATTTAGTAATTTGCATCCAAATGCCAAACCTTTAAGAGAGACAGCCTCAAAAGCTTTAATTAGGTTTTTATGTTTCAAAATTTAGTTAAAAGGTAAAGTGAGACACAATACACATGTTAAGATTTTTTTTGACAAACACAGATTCATGAATTGACCAACTCCAAACTAGAAATTGGTTCAGAGGTTCCACTGAGGTAAGACAGGGCAAGGAAGGATAGATACGATTAACAGTGATAAAGGAAGGAAAATATTTGATTAGAGTTACAGAGTTATTTTGTATGTCCTTCTGGAAAATCCTTAGTATAAAATGGAGGAAGTTAGTAGGTGATGGTTAGCCAGCCTGCCCTAAGTTTTGTTTTCCTTTAATATCGGTGTTTATAAGAAATGGCTCAAGGAAGATTCACTATGTTTGTAATGCAAGCAGGTCAGCTCACACATGAGGCCTAACTGACTGGGGATTCTATAGGTCTGGTCTTCAAACATATTTATCAAAACTGATTGACCAAGTTAACTCTTTTTGTTAAGTATTAAAATGATAAATTTTAAATTTATACTGAGGGCTCATTTTTTTTCTTTTTTTTTTTTAATAGAAGGAAGAGTTTATTTGAGCTTATGGTATTATTTTTTCAACATGTTAAGAAATCTATGTCTGGGCCACTGATGGCTCAGGGGGTAAAAATGCTTGCCATGGAAGCATGAAGGTCTGAGTTTGACACCTAGACCCATGAGAGGAGAAAACTGACTCCTGAAATTTGTTCTTTGACCTCCACACCCCTGCATGCACATGCACAAGCTAGACATGGTTGAACATATATATTATCCTAGCCCTTGGGAGGCTGAGGCAGGAGGATAGTGAGTTTGAGGCCAGTGTTAGCACATACAAACTTCTTGGAGAAAAGAAAGGCTTGGTATTTCATCTCTTTGCATGAAGCACCTGCAATAATAGTGTTAAAATATGAAATAAAATTTGATGGCAAGGACTATTTTTCCTTTTCGAATCTGGTGAGTGACATAACTTTCCCTCTCTGGACAGATTCAACTCCCTGCAATACGATAGACTTCCCTTCTGAGATTTGCCTCATCATATGTCCAACTTTCTCCCTGATGAAATTTCAGAATCATGAGTGCCTTTGTAGCAGCTCTGTCACAGAAGCTTATCAAGCATGCCTACTAGCCAGCACCACACACACCGGGGGCTAGGATCTTGAGAACTAGGCAAGTGCTGACATTGTTTAGGGTCTATTCTACTCTGTTTCTAAAGATTAATACTAGGAAATGATCCTTGAAGTACTCATGCTAAGATACCAGGTATTTGGCTTCCCTGTACACTGTGTTATAGCTGTGATAAAATTGCTGGATAACTTTTGGTGCTGCTATTGGGTATTTTGAGCAGTGTCTCAAAGAAAAGAACAGGTTGGTGATGAGAGCACTCTGTGACTGTCTGGAATAACTTTCTGGAATAAGTAGAGCATAAAATGAACCATCTGTCATGAGAAAAATTAAAGATTAACATTTTGCCATCACTTGCTGTTCCATTAGGCACCAATCGCCCATCTTCACTCTTCCTGCCCTCTTCCTCCAAACCACAGTCTGAACGTGAATGGTGTCTCTCTCTGACACCCCTTATGGCTGTACCCATCATTCTTCCTAATGTATCTGATGTCCCCTCTTGCCCATGACTTCTTTTCATGATTGGACAATGACCATATGGTCTAAATTCTAAGTGACTGAATGATAATTGTTTGCTTTATTAGTGCTCCTCCAAAAATTGGAAGCTCAGAAAAAGGAACCCCTTCTACACTGGTAAGTTTCCAAAGAATGACTTTCTAGTGATGACAGTCCAGTACTCTGGAGGTCTGGGAGAGCTGACCTACAGAGGTCAGTGGTCTGTGCTTGCATCCCTCCAACTTAGACCATTTTAGCAAACTGTCTCCATGTCTGTAATTAAGGATATGTCCGTCATTTGAAAGATGACACAGGAAGTCTCTGGAATTAATATGCCTTATTTTAACTTTCCAAAAGGAAGTGGTATTGCTGACACAACAGTCTAAATAGCAACTGGGAGATTCTCTCACCCCGTTACTCCTGCCTATGAGTGTCTTCAGGAATAGGCAGAGATCCTGCAGTGGGGGAGATGCAGGCTAGGACAGAACAAGGGCACATTAAGGAAAGTTTGGGGAAAATATAAACACTTAAAGAGAGAAAAAAAAATTTCTCTGAAACAAAGACAAAATTGGTTTTAGAGGCTCACTGAGGGAGCTGATATCAATTCATTAGTGGGGACAGTGTCAGGGAAGTATTGTAGAATTTGGGCTTGCTGTCCTTGGGAATCACAGGACGGCTTGAAAAGCAGCTAGAAAAGTTTTAGTTTCAGTCCGAGATGAGTCAGAACACTTTGTAAAAAGATATTTTTTAATTCTAGACACCTGTGCATGAGGGCCTTTTCCTCTTAGGACCACAGGTTTTATTCATTTAAATTTTGTGAATGTTGACACAAGTGACTCACTTTTGACTCTGAGCAGTTTATAAGTAAGGGACTTTTCTGTATGAGAATATGTGAAGAAACAGGCATCTGCTTCCTCTGTCCATCTTCCCTTTGCATCAGCCTTACAAATTGCTTAGTTCAGAGAACTTATTTTCCTGCTCTGGAGCCAGTGCCAGTAAATAGTGTACAATTTTCAGTAAATGATGTTCATTAATTATTTAATTTAGAGGTTACAATAAAACTTAATGAGAAAATCCTGTTTCCAAGGGAAAGCCATTATTATATGTTTGTAAAAGTATTTTAAGATAGTCTTCTGCATCTAAGTTGGATTTTCAGCAATCTTATTGTAAGATTCAGTACAAAATGTGGATTCATAGGGACCAGCTGAATGCCAAAAGAGGACTCTTCAAATGTATACAATTTATATTGTATCTGTTCTCTACCAGAAAAACAAGTTATCAGAAATGGTCCAGTGTGCCCAAATGTCTAAAATATTTTTCTTGAGTATGGTAGCAAATTCCTACAGGAAATCATCAAATCTTTGTATATCATAATATTAACCAGTAGGCATAAAAACATCATCAAATTCCCAAGCAGAAAAAACTGTTTTATTTCCTAAAGTAATAAGTTTTAAAAATGCACACATCTATTATTGTATCCTGGCTCCCAAATAGCATAAACTTTTTGTGGTTATCCAATATGACTTCTATGAATAAAAATTTTGGTGCTTATAATTCCTTTGGGTAAAAAAATCACATAATCACATTTTCATCCTATGTGCTTTAATGAAATTTCTCACTGCAAGTTCAAATTTACCTGGAAGGTTTTTATTCCTATTTAAATTGTTTGTGATATTGTTAGTGCTTTGAGGTAAGACAGTGTATGTTATAGTTAGAATCATAGATTTTGTTTTTTACTGGAAGATATCCTATGGGACCATCCTCAAAATAACTTCTACACTTTATAGGTTTAAAAGTGGTATCTCAAAGAAGTTAAATAACTGTTGAAATACAAATTTACAGTTCATGACACAGATAAGTCTGACAAACATTCATTTAGTACTTACTGTTTTTTTAAATACTTGAATCAGTATTCTAAGGAGCTTATGATTATTGGGTGTATAAATGCAAAACCCCAAAATTTCAGCAAAATATGTTAAACGTGGCAACAGTGATTAGTTCAGAGTGAAATATAAAATAGGAATGATTCATTTACTTAAGTGAATTTTTTTCTTTAACACTGATTGGATCCCTGCTGCATGCCAAATAGTGAGTGCTGGTCAATAAAATACACGTGATTTCTGAACCTGGAGTCAGTCTTTTGGGGGAGAGATGTGAATTCATCATATGAAATGTATAGTAGAAAACAAAATAAGCATTTTGAAAAGGAGACTGGTCATCATGGCTGTCCCATCTAATCACTCTGAGAAACTAAAAGTTAAAAAGATGGGACTCAATCACTTTAACAAGGAGGAGTCTGGGTTGTAGTTTTGTATTCTGTTGCTGTTTTTGGGATAGGGTCCTACAATGTAGCCCAGGCTGGCTCCAACTTCCAATCCTTCTGCTTAGCCACCAGGGTGCTGAAATTACAGGTGTGTGTCACAATGCCAGCTTTGCTTCTCTACCTTTAGAAGCAGTAGATCTCTTCTAAATAGCTTAGTTTGTGCAGAAAAAGGATTTCAGAGGTTTGGGGTGTCAAATCTAGAAATGACAGGGGTGTTCGCTACGCTGCTCCATCTCCACTGCCCAGTGCAGACAACACAGAGGGCCCCGCCTGCATTGGGTGTGGCTGCCAGCATGAAGACATCTGTCCCTCTGCCTCTGGACCTGGATGTCTCCGGCCACCCCATCCAGATGGGTTTAGTGAGAAGCCTACCTCTTC